GGGGGGACCCCCCATCATTAAAAGGGGTGCCACATTAGTGTGGTTCTGAATGTGCTGTTACAACTGCGAGCCCCTACGGTCGATACTAAACCTCCTGCATGACCTTAGCATACTATGGCAGCATATTTCCCCAGGTAAACAGCAGGGTACCTATGACCGCGCGTTGCTAGACTTTCGGTTTCCACCTCAGTACGGGAGCATGAACTTGGAATCATCAAGTACTGATACTTCGCCTGCAGAAAACTGCCCCACCCTAAACCCTTAACTCTACAGCCTAAACCCTAAATCCTAAACTGCCCATGGTCACTGCCGTAGAATGAGGTGGCTTTTTGGGAGAGCCCTACAATAAGCAGACTACACATTTTGCAGATATATAAGGAGACTCAACGTTTCAGCAAAAACGCACATGTCCTTATTCTAAGCCCCCAAACTCTATGCTGTCCCGATAATCCCCCTTAAGTAGATAGAATCTGGCTCTGGGTATATTATAATAAGATCCCCATATACCACACACTCTATTTCAAGGAGGACTATAGACCCTAAACCCTAAACCCCTGTATATGCCTCTTTCTAAGACTCAGGGTCCCTCTATGTACGCCTGACCAATCCAGAGCCCCTATTGCACAGACAAACAAACAGGAACCCCTAATTCCTCCCCATTAAAAAACTTATCTCCACCCTATACCCATAGATTACCCCTAAACCCCAAACCCTTAACCCTAAACCCTAAACCCTACCCCTAAAACCTTAAACCCCAAACCCTAAACCCTAAAGCCTAAACCCTACCGCTAAAACCCTAAACCCCAAACCATAAATGACCCCTAAACCCTTTTGGGCTCAAGCAGGGCACTGGTCATGAACTTCAGCTCCTGGTCCCAGGTGCGCTTGCCGCTATACTGAAGCCTGAGCTCTAGCATTAGGGTTTAAGGTTTAGGGTTTAGGGGTTTAGGGTTTAGGGTTTTAGGGGTTTAGGGTTTAAGGGTTTGGGGTTTAGGTTGGGTACTGCCCCCCCCTCAGTAACAGTTGGACAATAATTTTAATATGGTTATATATGGCCCTTAATAGGACCCCTAATATAAATTGTTACCGGGTGGGGGCAGTACCCAAGGTTTAGGTATAGGCTTAGGGTTTTTGGTTCAGGGCTTAGGAGCCTAAACCCTAAACCCCTAGGGTTTAGGGTTCCGGGTTTAGGACTACGATCTGGCATTAGGGGTTTGACGTTACAGCATTTTGCGTTTAAGATTCAAGGACCAGGCTTATATTTAGGGTTTAAGGTTTAGGGTTTGGGGTTTGGGGTTTAGGGTCCAGGGTTAGAGCTGTTGGTATGCTTGGGAATTTAGATTTCAGAGCTGGGTTCATATTAGTTTGAATCGCCCCACACTAAACATCAAATATTCCCTGGTAGGCAACCGAGACCTTATATATTGGGGGGGCAGATGTCATTCAGGGTTGGATGGGTGTTGAATATGAATATGAAATACTTGTTCACAAGTTGGCCCAAAGATCAAGAAATTTCCCCTCAACGCACAGCTGGTAGGGGGTTTGTTCCCTTCGGAAAGAGTGATATACGTTTCCAAACCTGATGCAGAAAAGCGTATGAACGCATGCATTGATCCTTGCATCTCAGTTCGAACAGGGGGGATAACATATCCTGATTCGCATTCATGTCAAATCATGATAATGTTGACTCCGACCGCCTTGGGAAACCAGCGCACTCATGATCCGAAACACGAATTCCAGAGATTAGATGTACTACAAAGTCCGCCCCTGCTGAATGCAGAAACAACTGAACACAAAAAAACGGAAACCAATGTGTTGCAGAAGAACCAGTAATTTTGGAATTCCAGAACACCATTCGCCCACGCTTGGTGGTTTCCCAAAATTAAGGGTATTTTTTGGGGGTCCCAATAATACAGATTATAATATTTTGGGACTACATTAGGGTTCCCCAATTTT